AAAGTTTAATACAAAAATTCTCAAATGGCGCATATACAGAAAAAAGAGCTCATTTGATATTTTATGTAATGACAAATAATGAACAATATATTAAAGTCTTAAGCTTATATAATTTGTCCTGACCTTATATTTGCACAAAATACGAAGTTCATGTACATCGATTTTTACCATGACATCGTTTATCATGATGATTAATGAGTCGATTTTCTCCCAAAGGCCATGGACATTTTGGCTATGGAATACAGATTAATATACATGCTCTCTATCTCCAACCAAACTCAAACTGAAACGCTGGGGGCAAAAGAAACATGAGTGTTCTGAAGCACGGGAAACACTAGCACGTCCGCCATCTTGTTTTTCGGAATTTTCGCGCATGCGCAGCGGTTTTTAAGCCGTGTTGGCAGTGCCTAAATTTATATATTAAGATTAATTTGAGGAGCTTTAGCTAAGGTTCAAACAAAACTTCGAAAATATGTAATCAACTTTCATAAACGAGGTGCGCGAAATGGATGCGCAGTAGGAAAGGTCCCAAACTACTTTAATATTTGGTTTTGTGCAGCTGAGTGCTTCTATCCATGATTTTATTGATGAAATCCATGTGGATGGCGAGACGTTTGACACCAAAAATGCGTGCTCCTACCCAGTCCATCTCCTTAAGACATCTTGCTACGTCACTGAACAAAACTTCAACGATAGTAATGTTCTTTTAAACTTAGTTTCTTTGTCTTCTCTTCTTATAGCGGAGCACCATACTAAAGAAATAATGGTAAACTATCGAGTTGATTTTTCATGGCCTGGCTGACGTCACTTCCGTCCGTACATTATTATTTTTTTGACAAGCATTTTTCTCGACGAATCGACAAATCAAAGACTTTCTCTCACAACTTTTTATATTTCTATAGATAAGCTTAATTTCAGTTTCAATGCTGGAGGAAAAATAACACGAAGAGCATATTACAACAAATATTCGTCCTTTATTTAGCTTCGTAAATCTTTAACAATTCGGTTGTTTTTAACCAACTATCGTATGTTTTTCGTTCAATAAAAATGCAGCTTTGTTCGCCTTCTATCGTGGGGTCCCATCGGCAAACAAAGAAGACTTTCATTCAAAAATTGTTTTATTAAGCTGTTCGCGCAAGTATGATTATAAAAATGAGCTTAAATGAGCTTTAATGTAAAAAGAGTTTCTAGACTTTCACTTTAAAAAGCTAAAAAAATATTCAAAAACATTTACAAACGCCAAATTACTGACAAGAAATTCATCATTTTGTATTTTGCATTGCCTTTTGCATTATTTTCTATTTTGTTTCAGTTGTTCTTGTCAAGTTTAACTGAATGTAAACTTCGTCTCGTTCTGTAAAAGACGTTATTAAAGTAAGCTTATTTTATGCTCACCTTCTTAACCAGTTTTCAAGTCTGTTTTTTGGTCTTGATTTGCCCTAAATCTCCAGATTTTCAATTTCAATGAAAGACATCCGGGGCAAATTTCACTAAACTTGATATTGTTTTGGATTATCTGTAGCTAGCTTTGTTTTTTTTTTTTTTTTTGAGTAAAAGAGATTCAAACCTAAAACTGTCGGCCTTGGAAAACTTTGTCGAAGTGAATCTTCCAAGAACAAAACTAGGGTGTGGTAGTAAGTTGTGTACAAAATTCCTAAGTGGGAGAGTATACTTGCGCAAAGAAAACAATGTAGTGCATTTCAATTCGATTTCACTGCATGGTTTTTATTATGGGAGACATTATCTTCATCTCGAATAAAATATAATTGAAAATTTTCCCCCGATCTTATTTTTACGTTTCAGTTTCATTCAAATTGTTCTCCCTGTGACTTCCGTATCGGGAGCTCCGCTTTTAGACAGTGCCTAAATATATTTGAAATGTGTATATAAGTATTGAGCAACAGCAAGTAAATTTATTAATTTATTAACAGATATTCAAAACCTATTATATATTTAAGAATTTATGAAATAACTACCTTTATTTCTTTTTAAGAATGAGTCACTGATTACATTGTAACTTGTCTTTAGACCTTTTCATTAAAAAATAAATAAAAAATAAAACAAAACTTGTACCTTTTTTAAACACTTTTACTACTCAACACCTATCTAAAATATACAGTCATTGTAATTAACGTTGTCCACCGAAAAAAGGCATTGAGACATTTAGACATTTAGAAATTTACACATTTAGACATTCACGTTTTTCATTATGTATTCTATGCTTCGTGTGCGTCAGCCTGAACTTTAAATGTAAAATTCAACTCATGAATCGAAAATCTAAAATGCCCCGACCATTTAGTGAGGATTTAAGATGGAGAATGGTATTTCAGCGTTTGGTTTATGCCAGGACGTTCGAGAAAACACGTGATATTTCTAAATGTCTAAATGACTAAATGTGTAAATGTGTAAATGTCAGTTTTCGGTGGACAACGCTAATCACATTGACTGTAGGTCTCTTCTTATGTATTCTCTGTTGCACAGGATTAGCCTCAATTAGTGTACAATATCCAGTGTGGTTCTGTGAAGGTCTAGAAATCAAAAGTATTTGTTATATTGTGTATTGTGTATTTTTTTACTTTATCTGGTATTTTACTGAATTTTTTTCTTTTCTTTTTTTCATTTTTCCCCCTGGTATATTCTGACGATGAAATGAGGTTAACCTTGAATAATGAGTCTTTAATCAAGGAACACATTTACAAACTCAAAAAAGAAACGAAGCAGCAGCTCCTGGTGAATATTGCCATAAATATTATATGTATACCTCTTAGACTGACGATTTGGTGAAAATGTTTGAAATTTATCAATTAGAAAGGTTATATGGGAGAGGAAAGGAAGGAATTATTACCAGAAAAATCATAGCTGAACAATTTGTGGCTTAATGTTTTCTCATTTCAGACCACGTGTCATTCCCTAGAGTATCATTTCTTTGTTTAACAGTTTCACTTGAGAAGACACATGATTATGGATACAACTCAAACAAAGAATCTAATTGTCAAGGGATTGACAAATGGTCTGAAATGGGAAACACATTCAAGATTTAAAAGGTTGTTTGGTAGTATGGAAATGACAATAAAATGCCTTGTCATCCAAATGGAGTTGGATCTCCTTTACCCAAGACAATACCAGATAATGCCTTGTTTCAAGTCGAGGCATTTGGGTCAAAAGTACAATAAATTTATAGAAATTGACCTAAATGCAACAATAGTTTGAACTATGATATATCTGCTATAAAGTTTTCTTTTATCTGAACCAGGACGACCAACAATTGTTATTTATCATATTCGTTAAGCTATTATTACCAAGTTGCGATTGTCAATGATTTGACTCGTCCTCCGGCTGCATTACGCGATGACCATTCGCAGTGTAGCCAGGCAGGGGATCCGTCTGCAGACAAATGCATATATTTTACGTGAATTATTTTATGTTATGGAAAAACATATCGTTTTAACTATTGAAATGCTATAATGACCTTGGATAATAGGAGGGTTATTGGAGGGTTGAGGGAGGGTGAGAGGTATTATAAAAAGCGTTATGCTTACCTCGTCATGTTCTATTGGTATTTTCTTTGCCGCTCCACCTCGAACATCAATGTTTGGCTGAAAAGAAAGAAAGCATGTATACGTCAACACTCAAGATGACAGAAAAAATGGCCTTGGGAAATATTGATAAAATCAAAAGAACAAATAAAAAGTATTTTAGAATTCACTAGTCCACATCGATTGCCGAAAGAAATCCGTTGAATTGGTGTACAGTGAGCTCCAAGTACGGGTCAGAACAAGCGAGGTAGTATGTGAGTACAGGCAAATTTCATGGCTTAAAGACGCGAAGACTAATCTCTAATGCGACTTTCTCGGTTCTATAGGGATGTGAGAG